GCCCTTGAAATGTCTGACAAGGAATTTTGAGTGATAATTCTAAGGAAACTGAATGAGATACAAGAAAACTCAGCTAGACAACATGATGAAACAAGATGGGCTTCCTTTGTGCTATAATCCGTTATACCAATGCTACCTCTGTTTTAGGTCCTTTTTTCTGTGGCCTTCCCTTCTCTCTGAGGCGGCTATTTTAAGAAGTTTTATTGTTTATCTGGCACTGTCTATGTATCACTCTCTATGGTACTTAGAATATTGGTAATATTTTTGGTTTTTTTGTTTTGTTTTATAAAACACTGTGATTTTGCCACAAAGTAGTTTGTGTCTTTGAAAATATTTTGTTGGAAAAACTTTGGATTGAAAAGTAGTTTTATTTCCAACTCAGCAAGTTCTGGCTCCCATCTGCAGGTTCAAGAATGATCTTAGATATTTAAGGCTGGAGTTCAGGGAACGTCAAGAATGAAGATGCAAACCTAGCCACCTGCATATTGATGGTATTTAAGGACACAAGAAGGAAGAGAGCTCTTTAGGAGAAGGTACAGACATAGAAGAATGGAGGACATAGAATGGAGTCATGAATCATTTGACACATTGATGTCAGGCAGAAAAGGGGACGCCAACAGTACTCAGCAAAATAAGGAAAATTTAACCACTTTGCGGCAACAGAATTCAAGAGAAGAAACCATTTGAAATAGGCTGATGAGGTGAACTCTGTTGAATGCTGCTGAGAAGTCTAATAAGATGAGGGCAGAAAAGCCATTGGCAGCATGGAGTTCACGGGCCACATCAAGTTTAACAGTTTGAGTGAAGAGGCAGTGATAAAAGCCCAGTGCATGGAGTGGGGATGGTAATATTTGAGAAAGTGGAGAAAGGCATTTTTTTAAAAAATTATTTTTTGAATTATTTGCTTGTTTATAAAAATGCAATTGAATTTTATATATTAATCTTGTAACGCCTTTGTTAAATGCTCTTCATATTTCTAATAATTTATTGATTATTTTTAGTTTTCTATTTAGACAGTTGCATCTCAAGTAATGACTTGTTTTTTCCTTTCTTTTTCTTTCTTTTATCTTATATGCTGGCTAGAATCTCCAGTACAGTGTTGAATAAATGAGATGATAGCAGACATTCCCGTTTAGCTCTTGATTTTAAAAGAACTTAATTCTCATATTTCATCATTAAAAATGATGCGTTTTGCAGGTTTTTCAGATACCCTTTATCTCACTAAGAAAATTTTATTCCATTCTGAATTTACTAAAAAGTTTTTTCATGAATAAGTATTGTATTTTGTGAAATGCTTTTTCCTTTTTCTTTTTTATTTATTGAGATCAGCAAAAGGTTTTTTTCTCCTTATCTATCAATATGAAGAATTATATTTATAGGCTTTTCAAATGTTAAAACATCTTTGCATTCCTGAGATAAATCTAACTTGGCCATGATATGTTATCTTTTACATACCTGATGTTTTATGTTAACATTTTGTTTACGATTTTAAAATTTATGTTTATAAATGAAATCGGCCAGTAATTTTATAATTTTCCTTTCTCATACTCTTCATGGTTATACCAGTGTCAACAAATGAGTTGACAAATATTTCCCCTCCCCATTCTCCACTCCCTATTCTCTGGAATAATTTGTGTAAGACCGAAATAGCCTGTTTGCTGAAAGTTTGGCAGAACTCCCTATAGAATTTGGGCCTGGAGGGTTTTTTTCTGTGGAAAGATTTTTACTTTTAGATTTATTGTCTTTAATAATCATAGGACTAGTGCACTAGTCAGCCTTTCTCAAGGAATTCTTGAGTCAGTTTTTCTGTTATATTTTTTAATGTCCTTTTCAACTAAGTTTTTATATTTATTGGCATAAATTTGTTTATTTTATCTATTTTTATCTTTTTAAAGATCTGTTTTATCTGTATTTGTGCCACTTTTTCATTCATAATATTTAGGTATATTTGACCCTTTTCTCATTTTTTTTTAATCTTACCAGAGGTTTGTCTTACTGTGTAGTGTTTTTCTATTGTATGTTTGTTTTCCATCTCACTGATTTCTTTTTTCCCCTCTCTCTTCTACTCCTTCAGATTATTCTGTTGTTGTTTTTGTAATCTCAATTAATGAGTTTATTTGTTTTCAACTTTCTGTTTTTCCAATATAAGTATTTAAGACTGTACATTTTCCTCAAATTACCACTTTTTTTCATCCCACAATTTTTTATGCATAATATTTTTATTCATTTCTAGTATTTAAAAATTTCCATTATCATTTCTTCTTTAAACTATGCATTATTTGAAGTAGTTTTAATTCAAAAAGTGTTTATTTTTTACTTATACATTTATTGCATTGTGGCCAGAGAATCAATATAATATTGATTTTTCACAGTTTCCTGAGCCTTGCTGTATGAGCTAGTCTATGGTCAATTTTTATGTTTTAAGCCAGAGAAGAATGTTTATTCACTAATAGATAGGTGCTTCGATATGTCAAATAAATAAAGCTTGGTAGTTCACATTTTCCACATCTTTACTAATGTTTCTATTCAGATTTGCCTATCAGTATGTCTCTTACCCATTGATAGATAACGTAGATCAGTCTCCCACTATAATGGTGGATTTGTTCATTTTCCCTACAGTTCTAGCAATTTTAGTTTTGTGTACTTGGGGGCCATTTTATTTTAGAATCAATATTCATAAAGCAATTTAAGGGTTAATATATCATAGAATCTTAGATTTGAATGCATTCACCAGAGTTCAGTCACCATCCCCTGCCACTTTCCATATCCAAACAAGAGGAATTATTTTACAGCACCCTGCTACATGACCCACTCACTTATTGAATACTTTTAGACACAGGGAGCTTCCCACCTTACAGGGCAATCCAGTTCTTCATTGGAGATCTCTGCTTGATTATAATTACCATTTAATTGGAATTTCTGTGGCTAGACATTATGCAAAGCATTTTATAAACATCATCATGTTTAATTCTCACTACAGTATTATAAAGTAGATATTTTATCTCCATTGTACTAATGAAGAAACAGGTTAGGGTAATTAAGTGACTTGCCTAAGGTTGCACAGGTAGTTAGTGGCACAGCAGGAATTTAAGCCCAAGTCTGTCTCCTAAATCCACTTGACTACACTCCAGGCTCTTCACGTTAGGTCTAAAACCATATTCCTTTTAAGTCAATCAAGGGACCTGGTTCCAACCACCATTTTTAGTGTTCCTAGCACTTTCCAGTCCTTTGGAAACCCCAGAAATAACTCAGGCTAATATGTGTTCCCTAACCTTGCCCAAATTCTCTCAGTTTTCTTATAGAAACTTTGGGCCTTTGTAATATGTGTGCATA